TAGTGTGTGACATGGTTGCCAATGCCAGGAACGTTAATTCTTTTCGCTGTTAGGGACAATTTAACAAGTCAGGGAATTTCAGTATGAGTCAGGTAAAATTTAACTCTTTCAAAGAAGTCAGAGGGAGGTGACATATTCACAGAAGTTAAACATTTGTTCCATTGGGGGAAGAAGATTGTTTCAAGAAATTAAACGATATGTCTCAATTGCAAGGAAATTGCTCTCAGTTCTAGACTACGAGCAGTCTCTCTTTTTTCTTGGTCCGTCTAGCAAAACGCCCGAGACACGCAAATGATCACGGGCGTGACTGAAGGCGCCAGGCGGGAGAGGCACGACTGCCGCCCTCGTTTCTCGCATCTCGCGGCTTCACCGCTCAAAGCTCGCGCGCGCGTGCACTCCCCTTACTAAATCTGAAGTAAAAGAAAGACTGCTCGCAGTCTATCACAGTTCAGTCTCACTGTTGTATTACACAACCATCTCGAAACGTAACCTGAGTACACTTATCTACGTTTCACATCTATTGTCATAATCCCTATCTTATGTCAACAGTATAATCCCTCGCACAAGTTATATAAGGGACGGACCGTGTGATTAGAAAACTTATGGGGGCAGGGGGGCGAAGTACAAAAAGAATATTCGCGCAAGGGAAAATTAAATGAAAAAAAATTCATGCACGCCAATTAACCCTAAAAAATATTCATGCTATAGCCTAAAAAAAATTCATACAAGGAATTTGATAACGAAAAAAAATTCCTGCGGCTCGAAAATTCCCCACCCCCCATAACTTTTCTAATGGTCCATCCCTAACTAGAACGTCTACAAAACAAACAGCACAATTTCAAACACACGTAGATATAGTTACTGCGCTTTTCACAAACATGCGAGCTCTGAAGTTCAAAAGCCAACTGATGATTGCGTTTTTCGCTGACGTCAATCATCTTAACGGACCTCTTAGGAAACAAAACTTTACATCAACGCGTTCAATAGGTCATGGTCTGTGATTTGCGATAGGTGGATTTCGATCCGTTTTGTATTTCAAGGTTCGTTGCTTGTGATCGTAATTATGATTGACGGCAGTGAAAAACGCAATTGTGAAGGCGGCTTTTGAACTTTAGAGTTCGCATGTTTGTGAAAGGCGCAGTAAAGTGAGGGGTGGGGGAAGGGCGTTTTTTTTTCAGAAAAGTGTGGTGTATCAAAACTTAACCCCCCAAAATAATTACATTGGTACCCCCCTTAGCAATAACAATTATTAAGATGCACCCCCTCTCCATCCCCTTCTAGACCAAGTCTCTTCTTTCATCCTTAGGCATTGATTTCATAAGCTATAAGATACCGGTAGTTGGCACCGAAATTTTGAAGGTGCATGCAGGGGAATAAAAGTTAGCACGCCGAAGGCACCCTAAACCGGGGAGAGTCGGGAGGCAGGCTCCCCCAGAAAATTTTCAATTTGTGGCTTGGAAATGCCATCTCCTGCGTTTTCTGCAGGACATTTTCAGTAAATAAAGACAAAGGAAAACGCAGTAATTAGCTGTTTATTTTACCCAGCTATCACTAGTGTTATCGGTGAGGTACAGGCTGTTTTAATACGGCAAAAAAGGGTAAAATAGTGACGCCATTAAGGACGTCACAAGCAAAGGGCAAGATTTGTACTCCTCCCTCCTCCCTCGCGCGCCGTCTCGCGCCTAATCCCTTCCTCTTCCCTTTCGAACGCCTGCCACGCAGGCTACTTCGACGGCTGATGTGAAGACGGTAAACCCTAAAACCCTAAAAACGCCTGCGTGGGAGGCTATTTCTTAGCGTGCTTCCATGAGACTACTAAAGTGATCAGTCAGGGAAGAGTTACCTCGACGCTGATTCAGTTTACAGGATGAAGATCCTGTTCGCCCTCGCCTTTCTTGTGTGTATTTCACTCGGTAAGTTCCTTATCCACTGAGTGCAGTTATTGCAGTGAGAGGACTATGTTTGCTTTTTATGATTTTGTTGTTGTCACTGCTTTCCTATGAAGAAGAGGTGGGGTACGCCATCTTGTATTCATTGTTGGGATGCTTCAGGAAAACATAATTTTATCCCTTTAAAGTCTCGTACTCTAAACATGACATAAAACGAGCTAAAAAGTGTCTTCAAACACGGTATGCCAGTAAAGATTCAATATAGCCCTTGATAGTTTCTTCTTATCGCATCGTTTAACTTACCGTGTATTCTAGATTGATGTTCCTAACCAAGGCTTGACCAATCTTCGTTTTGCCGGGTTGATTACCGGTGGGAATCCCCAATGAGTCAGATAACAACTTGCAACAATAATAAATTCGCCTATAACTGTCCAACAGTGCCTTAAATTCCTGGGGCAAATTATTCTATTAACAGGCCCCGCTATAAATATATAAAACTACCTTCGTTTCAGGTAGTTCGCTCTCGTTCGAAATCTCCTTCCCCATCCCTTCGAACACCTGCCACGCAGGCTAGGGCACAGCAGGCCAATGCCCTGCTCTAGATTTCTCAAATATATTCAGTCGCATTGCTTTGAGTAAAAAACACGCTGAACGTTGTAAGTATTCCAGGGCAATAGAACTGTAAACAAAGGTCTTGAACTTATTCCGAGGGAGTCTCGAGGTCGTCGCAAACGGTGAATCTCGCAATCAACCTGGCTTCCGCTGCAAGAATTTGTTTTTTGGCTTATCTCCGCTCAAAGGATTTTTTTAAAGACAAGTTTCCTTTGCAGGAAGTTGTTTTTGGGAATTGTCACCTCAACCTCCAGTTATTTCTAATGGTCCATCCCTAGCTAATTAAACCCGATTTTCTTTCGATGACAAAACTTGCAAGTTGATTGACAGTTTATATTAAAAGTTGAGCAATTCGTGCCAGTCGAACTTTCTCTCTGGTTTCCTTGGCAGATTCGTTTTTAAATTTTAAAAGTTTAACCAAGTTAGCACAAAAGTTTTTGTCATGTAAACCGACTAAACGGGCAGGGTAAATCTGATTGATGGAAATTTTAGAAAATGTGAAAAATTAAACAGCAAGAAATTTGTTAGGAGAAAAAGCTATGTAGCTTTTATGAACCTGTAAGGCTTAATTGCCAGTAAGACCTCTTTCCAAAACCAATATAAAACAAGACTCCCCGAACGGCGCAGACCGACCTCGAAACGTTTAAGGATTTGATTATAATTCACTTGTTGATTTCATCGGAACGAACTTTAGAAAAATGTACACAGATCAAAAGTAATATGAGTTAAAGATTCTTAGGATTTTTCTCAGCCGTGACTATTAAAAAAAACGTATTTTTCATGGAAGACAATTATCCTGTTGTTCACCTCCGAAATTTTAGGCAAAACGCTTTTCACTGTTTAATCCATTGTTGGATTAAGACTGAATTGTAGTAAAATGCACCTTGAAATACAATAGCTCGTGACCTAGGTTCGTTTAGATCTAGCCTGGGTCATAGTGCTGATTACACGGAATTGTCGGTGATCCAGCAAATGATTATTTTGTGCAGATAGGTCAACCGAAGTTTCTGAGCCAAGAACTAGTCGTGTGAATAAACAAAAAACAAACTGCGGTGATAAACATAAGGAAATAAAAACGCATTCCTGGATAGAAATAAAACTTTAACTCGACGTTTCGTATGTTCCAATCGATTCCAATATACATCTTCAGATTCAAGTAAATAACCGTTGAGTAACAACAGAAATTTAAATAAAGAATTAGTAACTGATAAAAGAAACAACAGATGACATATTGTAGGAAAATCTGCATATAAATAAAGCATGCAAACCTATAGCATGCGTGCAGACGATAACTAAACTCTGATTAGTACCGTCTGCGAAGCAGCGCAGAGATCATTGTTCTGGACCCCCAACGGACTCAACGAATTACCGGAAGTGCGTTTCGAATTCCCCTTCAATCTGATTGGCGGTCACGACAAACAAAACAAAGGCCTTTTTTAACTGGCCAATCGTGGCGCTTACTCAAATCTGGATACACAGCTGGAAGTCCCGAACAAGGATTTCGGCGCTGTTTCGCAGACGGAGTTAACCAGAGTTTAATTTCGTCTGCGCGCAGGCTAGCAAACCTAGAAAGGCAAAGTTTTTCACTGCGGACATTTTTCTATTTAGGGAAGGTCCAAATCCCTAATCAGGAGAGTCTCCTTTATTTTGCAATGGGTGTCGATCGTCCTCTTGCCAAATGTCGAAATGGTCCCATTTCAAATCATGATCTCTAGTTGACGTGACATGGTCCGTAATAGCAGATCAGTGATTGCTACTCGTAATGGCTTTGAAGTGCGTTGTTTTCCTGTCATGCTATCTACCTTTAGTTTTACCGATGTATAAAGAAATCCTACCAATCCCAACAAGTAGCCTTATAAAGAACCTTGGTCATTTGAGCACGGGTTAGCCTAGCTTTGTAGGGAAAAAGAGACTTTATACGATGCGTGCTCGGCTTTGGAAAACAACATCAAAGCAGCCGTAGAATTTATTGATGCAAGCCTTCAGTTGTTTGGTGAGGATTCTGCTCTGTAACTCTAAATAAGATAGAATTAAGAGGACCTTTCTTTTTATAGACTGTGGTGGTTGGCTGTTCGGGTCTGTTTTCTTGTTCGTTCAGAACATCATTAATGTTGTAATCAAACATACCGCTGGGATAACCATTTTGTAAAAACAGTTTTCTCGTTCATCCAAAGAAGAACTCAAAAGAGAGGTTGACAAGCAAATGTGGAAACAGCGAATAGTGAACGTACAGATAACGTTCATCGTTTATCTTGTACTGATTTTCGAGCTCTGAAATAATGAGTTCCATTTAATGTAAAGGCCAGTTAAGTCCTTCTTCCGGTAGTGACTTTAAAAAAGCATGGTTGCTGCGTTTGATGAGTATGTGTAGGAAATGTATGTTTATCACCGCAGTTTGCTTTTTGTTTCTTCTTAAGCTAAGGTGGTTAAAAAACAAGAGTATCTACGATTTAGTTTGTAAATCTAATAGTGAATAACAACGATCTGCTCTATTTCGCAGGATACGGCCTTAAGTGCTACGAGTGTAAGTCTGAGAAGAGTTGGGATGACTGTGCTAAAAGTGAAGTGGATTGTCCGGCAGTCAACGATATAACCTGCGTCAAAGCCTATGGCGAAGGAAAAGTGGCAGGCGAGTCTAGGAAAGCTTTTGCCAAGGGGTGTTTCCTTAAATCATTGTGCAACAATGATTTCTGCAAGAATCAAGTACCTGGGGTCACATTCTCCAAGTGTGATATCAACTGCTGCGACAGTGATCTGTGTAATGGAGCCAAGGTACCAATGATGAGCACTCTCCTGCTTTTCGCATGTGTCCTTGTAGTTTTTCGCCGTTGAGTTGTGCACTAAAAAGTGAACGACCGTGAACGCAACCTCAAAGTTCAACACAAACGTAATTAGATATTTTAGCAAGGAAGTAATGGCATGTAGTTTTTAGTTAAGAAAATGGTGCAATTTTATGTAATCTTTTTTCACCCCAGGATTGCCTCATTAAAGTTTGTTTTTGATTGGATGATTTTGTGCTTTAAAGTCTGGCTTGGGTTCTGGAATGTTGAACACATTTTTGGGAAGGCGTAACTCGATCTAGACATGATCCAAAGAAAGGCCCGAAGTGAGTGGTTGAAAATTTGTTTAGAGTGCATCAATCTAAAAATTGCAGTTTCATTATATTTATCTTTTGAAAAGGAATATCTCGTTAAAATTTTTTTGTCAAGTTAAAAAAAGAAATAAAAGAAGGGCAAAACTGTTGAGAAATTTTTTAAGTCAGTTGAGTTCCAATCTCAACTTTCAGTCAAGTAAATGCATGTTCTACGAACATTAACCACAAAGAACGCAAAGTACGCGCAAACGAATGTGCCGAAGAACGTAGGATCTAGTAGACCTGATCAGCAAAAATAACAAGTGACATATAAGACCCATATTAAATTCTGCAAACAGAATACTGAATGCTGATCGTACTATGTGAAAATTAACTTTGCAAGACATTAACGCGACACCGAAAGAACTCAAAACAGAGCGGGATTGTAGCCATGGACAGCTGTTTCGCTCTTAGCTGTGGTCATACTATAGACTTTTACCCAGGTAAGCTCGAATTGTTGACAGTTTACCTAGGGAAACTTGATTTTTTAAGTGTGACCGATTTGTCCCTAGGTATCTTACCTCAGGGATCGTCTGGAGCTTGGATATGTCTCGAGAACAACAGAGTTCCCTTAACCCAAAGCGATAGCTTGGGAAAAATGAAATACCGAGGTTGCTAGCCAATAGACGCTCATCGGCGAAGGTCTTGATGACAGAACCGGACAAGGCTCACACGGTGAAAGAAATTTTTGGCGCACAAGTCGTCTACGTCTTCGCCCGTCTTCACCTTGCACGTTGAATTAGCGTAAGAAATAACAGCGAGATAAAAGATAATTTCCTGCACATCTTGCCTTCTTGAATTTTAGGCTCCAAAAAATTCAACGGTGCGTGAAAACCTTGGGAGCCGACATCAGTAGTGTGACCTTCCCAGAATTATTTACCTAGTTAAAACAAAACCAGAGATGAATTTACCTCTTTGTAGCTCATCAGCATGGCGTAACAAGTTGGTCGAGGTTGGTTTTGGCCTTTTACCTTTTTTTGCGAGACATCAACTTGACATTTGCCCTCCAGGGCGGGCTCCAGGGCCCAGTTGTTCGCAGGCCGATTAGCACTAACCCAGGGTTAAATTTTAACTCTATGCTTTTTAGAGTGTTCTATCATCAAATTGTAGACCAGAAGAATTAAACTGAATTTTCTTTCTAAGCTCTCATATCTGAATTGAAATTTTGCACTAACCCTGGGTTATCTTAACCCAGCTTTGAACAACTCTACCCGGGATACACGTGATATGGCGTGATTCAGCTGTGGGTGTTTGAAGTTCTAAGTTGGGGTATTTTATAGCAGAGTTCCTCTCTGCCTGTTAGGCCATGCTGATGAGCTAGAATAATAGCGAAACAGAGAAATAGAGTCTTTATCTTAGCAGTGGAACACCAAAGTGGCGCTAACTAGCCGAAAACGCTTCAAAACGGCCTGAGACGCGGGCAAACAACAAAGAATACAACAAGGCAATAAGGTAAGTCGATTTTATTTAAAAACATAACATTTTTTCTCTCTTTGAATAAAAACCGTTTACATCCCATACAAGCCTTTGTAAATAACCGTTTGTAACACAACACCGCTCGCAAGCAAGAGTCACCTCCGCATTCCTGCAGTGAGCTTGGGCCGCCTGTGGTATACCATTTGATTACATGGGTGACAAATTACGATCACAGTCGTGGGTTTTTGACATTGTTCATCGAACTGATTATCGACCGAGAACTCTAGCTTAAATTTTGACTTTAGTTCATAATTTTCAGAACTTCTCGAAAAAATACCTGATAGAGTCCTTCTTGATGTGCTCTTTCGTATGCCTAGGTACAGTAAAAACCCACAACTAAGAACCTACATTTTTAGGAGTTGGCCTAAACAGGTTCTTATATAAATGGTAGTTAACAGAATTTTAGGCTATTTAGGTTCTTAAAATGGGTTCTCAATCCTGGAGAAAAACAATTAACACACAGCTGCAAACAAGTTGGTCATTAGCCTATACTTTTTTATTACTCCTTGATTTTGGCGCGAAATTTCAGCGTTAATTTGTAATTTCACATGTGAAATTACTAAATTGCCATGGCAACCTGCCGTACTTCTCCGTTTCAAGATGGCGACGAAGTTTTAAAATGTCATGAATGAAGATGTCAGGGCATAAAAAGACGCTTTAGAAAACCTGAACACACGAAAGAGAACATCAAGAAGGATTCTTAGAGGTATTTTGTCGAAAAATTCTGAAAACTTAAGCCAAATCTTAGCTCTAAACGTTTGAGAGAGTGGAGTTCACGATCGATCGATAAAATCCAGGATAAACAAGTCAAAAATCTTCGATTGCTAAGGTAATTCGTCACCCATGATATTAATAGGTAATCAAATGGTATACTGATGAAATTAGGGAATAATTTCACTTGTGTTTTGTCCAAATCGTCTAAAGGGTCGGTAAATTATGAGGATTTGGACAAAACGCGCGTGAAATTATTTCCTAATTTCACTCGTCACCATTTGATTACACATACTCATTACAGTCAAACCCCCGTTAATACGTATACTGAAGGGGCCATAGAAAGTGTCCGTATTTAGCGGGTCATGTTATTAAAAAACTTTTATTAGAGCAAAATACTGAAAAAATGGAAGAGGACAAAGACGTCATTCCAAGGACAAAATCCACGGAAACACTCAAATATCGCGCATTGTTATATTACTAATTATCAGAGCCATTCTATGCTTAATTCATTTAATTTTGATGCCAAAATAATCTGAAAACACGATGATCTCAACAAATCATCCTATCCGCTGTACTGTAGCGCTGGACACATCGACCTGTCAAATGAAGGTTTTTTACCTTCAATGTTCAAGAAATATAATTGTTGTTGCTTAGTAAGCCGATGTTGGCATAACTTTCTTTTGACTGTGTGCCCGCAAGATTGTAGCGATCGAGCGCTTACTTTTCAAGGGTCTGCCACAGATGCCAGCACCCACCGGGCGTTGTTCAAGAAATTATATGAGGCGAAGCATGATGTATACACCATAAAAAATTCCTTTATCATGTGATCTAAGTGATGAGACGTGTTGGTTAAAGTTAAAATGGCTTTTGTACGCGTTAGAAATACTTGTATTGTTCATCACAAAATGCCTTAGCGTCTTGGAGGTGTTTTTTTTTTAAATCTCCAGAAGGATGCGATAGGTGCTAAATCGGAGAATAGTATGAGGGAGTTGTGATCCATAATTCAATACCCATTCTAAGATGATTTCGATTCTCGACTTTCGAGTGCAGATGTAATATTCCTCGTTCTTACTCCATAAAGAAAAACAAGCGAGCCAAAAAAGTGAAAATTCCTCGTTCTTTAAGTCATAAAACGAAACAAGCGCGCTCAAACAGTAACATTCTTTATTTTTAAGCCATAACGCGAAACAAGCGTGCGTTACATGTATTATTCTTCGTTCTATAGATCATAGCGCGCAACAAACGAGCTCCAGGAAAACTCGAAGAATCGTGCAATCGGAGACTTATTACCACAGCGGTTTGGGTAAAATTGGGCAAAAGCGCATTACAGATGCAGACGGGTTGAATCAGAAAAACCGGAAGAATCCTATAATTGGAGAATTGTCTTTAATGAAAGTTTTCTTAATCGCAGAATAGTAAAATTGGAGTAAATCTGCAGTGCTAAATCGGAGAATAGTACCCCATAAATCGGTTATGCTATTTTCCGATTTAGCACTTTTCGCACCGCGTCCTGTTAGTTCAGATTTACAATTTTCACCTGCTTGAAATATCAGAAAGAAGTCAGGTACCATGACAAGTCAGCCGCAACGGCTTTTTTGGATTCTTTTTATAAAAAGATATAGCCAAAACTCACAAAGATTTGATTTTCACTGTAGCCAAGCCTCTCAGTCTTCGACTGTATGTTCCCTGACGCCCTCTCGATCCCTCGGCTAACTGCCAGTGATGCCCGGGGGAGGGGGGAGGTGCGGCTCTGCCCGTCATACCCTGCCCTGACTCTGTTTACGACAAAAATCGCTGATTTTCCTACCCTGTTTAAGACAGAATTCCGATTTTTGATACCCAGTTTAAGGCATTCGTAGAACATAAGCGCAGGCTGTTTATCGTCTAAGGTTATGGGCTCCTGTCTAAGAAAAGATACCCTGTTTGAGACAAAAATCCCGAAAAACATACCCTGACTGGCCGCACGTCCGCATTGAGCCCTTATAAGGGAGTACCCCCCCCCGGGCAGTGATGGAGGGTATCGTAGAGAAAACTAGGGAAACGAACTGAAAACAGTCTATCTTCTGCTGATGATTATCTTAAGGCAAACGATTGGCTCTTGAAAGCAGGTAAGGGATTGAAACCAAGTTGTAGTATCGCCAAAATATTTAAACCCGGCTATAATCTTAAGCTTAGTGGTATAAACTTACTTATTTATATATGCACGCCTATGTTATGGCCCTGTTTGAATTCACATTATTTGGACCTTAATGATAACTACAGTAAGAAGTAATTGAGTATTTTTTTAAGCTAATCCCTCTCAGTGAGACGATATCAGTGAATTCTTTGTTTATCTTTCGGATAAAAAAGTTATAAATTTAAAAGTGTATTACTCTCCCGTTCAGAATATTTACTTGTGAGCTACGTTACTTCGCAACTCCTTGAAACTTGTCTCATATAAATGAGAGTCTGTGAATTAATAAAAGCAGAAATGAAAACAAGAGGGAAGGCACAAGAATTGGACACAGCATTACGCTCGGGGAAAACTCCGCAAGACTACATAATATAGTCCTATTTTAGACTGTGGCTTCCGCATGACAAGTGTCATTTTACTCAGACATAGTGGACAAATAAGAGATAGGGAAAATATATTCTTGATTGGTTTGTCAGTAATGATTTATGATTCACTGTGAAACAAACACAAGGAAATAAGCGCCCTTTAAATGATAAATTATTAAAATATTTTTTTAAAAAAGAAACGAAGTGCTGTAGAATTGATAAAATATATCGCTTGAAAAATTCAGATCTGCTTATACTTTTACCCAATGCAATCGAACCTATATGTACGACCACCTCTAGAAAGAGACCACCAATCCGTAAAAACCAAAAATTGGGTGTTTCTCCTATGAAAGTGGTACGGCTAGGAAGAACAATTGCCTTCTATCAAGTATTTTTCCAGCAGGGGAGTGTGACTTTGGGCAAATGTTATATCGGTCTCCAGAATGGTCATGCACCTCAGGACTCCCGGGATGGATTTTTTTTGTACAGTGCCCGGCTACTTCGGCGAGCATGTTCTCGGTCTTTTTGGATTATATCTTTCGAGTTTGTCAAAGTCTGTGGGATTCGTTTCTCTATCTGGGAAAGCTTCATTGGTTTCTATATCTGCTGCTATCCTATTTCTACGATCCTGGCTTGTTTATTTCCCGTTGGAGTTCGAATTTCGGGGAAAACGTTGTGTTGAAAGGGAGCATGGCGGCGAAAATGTCATCTCGTGTCTCCTACCTTGTATATTATTATTGTATATAGAGTAAGTTTGAACAAATTATCACGAAACTTTGTTGGAGCATTAAGGACAACAACAACTAACTGAAGAGTAAGTTTCATTTATCTTTATTTAGTATTTCCTGGAAATTTTAAGATCGTATTTTTACCCCATACAAACACTTTAAATTTACTGGAACCGTACTGTGGTATTGTCACAGAGCCTGGGACACCTGTGATCTATTCACTGCCACCGGACATAACATAAACTGGGATCAATTTAAAATCTTAGTATCTGGCAAAAAAGATTATCTTTGTAAAGTAAAAGAAACATTGTTTATTCAAGAGACAGCTTTTAATGTCAACATCAGTAGTGAAAAGCTGATGCTTTATTAGCTGTTGCCTTTTGTATTAATGACTGTTAAGAATTTTTTAAATTCTTAATCTCATTTCCAGATCCCTTGTAATTTTTGAATATATGGTCTCGTCATTTTCTTTAACGTTCACTTAAGATCACTTTTGAAAATGGGTGTTGAATAGCATACGAAACGTCAAGTTAATAAAAATGCGAAAACTCACAAGAATGTTTTTCACCGCTGTTTGTGTTTCATTTGTGTTCTCGAAATTTTCCGACGAGCACCCCGGCCCCCGTCACTTATAGAGGGGAGTACCCCCCGGGCCTCGGTGTACAAGTGAGGGCTCAGCTGATTATCCTGATCTCTTGCCAAATTATGTCAAAGCTTGCCAGCCTTAAAAACCGCCTTAGGATTGACTACGTTACTTTTACACGCAAACTGATGACGTTTCCTGCGTGGCTGCAAATGCCCGTGAAAATCTAATCAATATTTTCAATTCGAGGTTGTAAGTTCTGCTCGAAAATGCAAATCCTGCCGTCACAAGTGCTGAGATGCCTTAAGTATTGTATTCTGCTTGAATTTCTGTCAACAGAACTTTGATTATCCAAATTGCCTAGCGTCGGAGAAAATAAAAGGATTAACCGCCAATCAAACTACGTGATGCCTACAATCGTGCTTTTAAGTGTGTTGGAACTCTTAAGACTCAGGCAATTTTGCTCTGTCCACTTGGCGCACATTGCTGCTTGACAGCTTATTCACACAATGCACGATCATCCACTTCTTAAACTTTCACTCTAAAAGTCCAAGGCTGGAAATCACAGTGAAACTGTCTTCTCTCCATTTGGCGTAAAAATGTGAAGTGATAAGACACCTCGCCGCATAGGACATCTTCCCAGAAAAGAATTCACAAACGTGCTTCACGGATTGGGTTTTTATATCTTAAAGAAAAAGTGACTATTATGAGACGTTAGAGATAATTTCAAAACATTGGATGAAAAATCAACAATCAAATAATTTTAAATTCTAAATCAAAATGGATTAAGGCCAACTCACGTAAACATCGTAAGTTGGTGTCATTGGTTAAAACATGATTTATAGGTCTGCTTGAAAGATGTTTTCGCCAGCTTTTATACCTAATTGCATAATTAGAAGAAAAAAAAACAGCGAAAAAGCTCATTCCGTCTATTTGTAAACCGGGTGGCATACAAGTTGAAGTTTTGCTGCACGGACTACAAACCCTGTGCTCATTTTGCATCACTGGCAGAAGTTCTTGGCGCTCTTCAGAATGAACGTTCTTTACGCATTTCTGATGTGCTTCTCTGTAGGTATGTTAAAGTTTAATGTTAAGGGAGCATTTTCTGGAGAAAACTCAGGATCTTTTTTTAATCAATAACATTGGTCAACGTTTTACTTGTACGAAGCTGTGAAGAACATACTCAAAGATATTAAATAAAATTTTCCCCGTCGCTTTTCACATTGTTATTTGTCTTTTTTTTGGCTAATTCGCCTTGAGAGCTCGATAATTCAGGTTCTGAGATAGTGTTTCGAATAATAATAATAATAGTAATAATAATATAAGTCTTTACTTTTTTCATAGTTATTTGTTTTTTTTTTGGTTAATTCGCCTTGAGAGCTCGATAATTCAGGTTCTGAGATAGTGTTTTGACTAATAATAATAATAATATAAGTCTTTATTGCCAAAAGATAAAAGTACATATCTTTTATTACATCCTAGTTGCCCATACACTCAATAAAAATCTACCCTAAAAATTAAACTAGTTAAACTACAAAGAAGTAAAAGATCGTTAATAGAAACGGGAGAAGAAAAACAGCGGTGCTTGTGACAGCGATCCATGAAAAAAAGCTGCATAATATTCAAATCTGATCCAACCGCTCCACACAGAAAGGCAATATGTAAAATTCGGTAGAACTAAGTACTTAAATAAATGGTCTATCTCTACTTGAGAGTATTGCTCAATTCTAAGAGACCTCAAACAGCTGTTTGCTTTGTCTAATTTCAGTCTTAGATGTTCACTGAACTTGCAGTTACTTTGAAGGGTAACACCTACGGTAACGACAGACTATCACACTGCGGAATATTGCAAATCATTTGCTCATATATAATTCGTGTTATTATTCTTCTTCCTAACAACGAGTTCCTTGCATTTGCTAGGGTTACAAATCATGTTCTCTCTAGACCAATTTATATTTGAATCTCTATTTTATCAAGATTTTACCCCAGCGAAGTTGCTATTGAAATAATCCTTGTTTCTAATTAGAGGAACTATTTGTTAGATTGATTCTGACTATAAATATTGCAGTACGGACGACTGGCATGAAATGATTACTAATCAAACGTACGGATATTCTACCTTTGGGGATTTCACCTTACACCTTACAGCCGGTAAAAAAAGAATGTGGTTAACAAACTGAACCTAGCTCTTAAAGAGAAATTTGTTCTTAATTATTGGTGCCTCATTGGATTTTGAGACCGTTCATTTTTATGTGGGGAGGGGTGGGGGGGGAACCGTGGGATTTTAGAATTTTTTGGGTGTCTCCTCTGTCTCATAAGATGACATTCTTAATTAGGTGCCACGACACGTTAACCATAGTTTTTAAGGCTAGATATTTATATTGACACGATGCCAAGATATCTACTTTAGGAGGATTGTATGAAGTAAGAAATTCGACAAACGTTCTGCGGAGATCAAACAACCTTATTGTTAACTGCGTTAAGAGAACAACTCACAGTTTACGTACATTTAGGTACCCATATACAACAATGTGGGATGGACTCCCAGAGGACCTGAAGTCTGTTAAATTCATCTTCTCGTAGTTCTGTATTTTTTCTTTTGATTTTTTCCCTAGTTATTTTCTTTTTTTAAGGATTATTATAATTATTATTATTAAAAACTGAATCATCGGATAGTGCAATTCTAGAGCTCTGATTGGCTTAGCCCTCACGGTATATGAGCCATGCTCTCCAAATACAGTGTACGCCTCTGCTCAAAATTAAAAACAAGTTGAAAATCGGTTGTTTCTACAAATAAAGTCGGAAGGAATTCTCGATACTTTGTGGGAGTTTTTAGGAAAACAATTATTCCATTCCCGCTTGTTAGACATGAGATGATTATAGCCAACTCGAATGACCACTCCGCTCCATTCCGTTGCCCCCAAAGAGGAAAAATTCCTTCTGGCAGCCAGGATAGGTAAGGAGCGACTTTCAAATGCAAAATTTTAGACCTTTTTACCGATACGGCGGTCATATTGAATTAATTTGATTTAACGAGTATCATAGGATGCCCAGGAGGCATGAGCACCTTTCGTTTGTATTTTCGAGCGCTTTTCTGAGCACTTTTTCTTAAAGTTTTCTTAGAATAAGAGTGTAATGGGAAAAAAGATCGTTTTGCCGTTTTTGGATGTAATAATGATCGCCTTTTTCCCGAGAAAGATACAGTGAATGATTATTACATCCAAACACGGCACAACGATATTTTTTCCCATTACATTCTTGTTCTAAGAAAACTTCAAGAAAAAATGTCCCGAAAGGCGCTGGTACAAACAAACAAAATGTGCTCATGCCCCCTGGGCATCCTATAATACTCCTTAAATCGAATTAATTCAATATGGCCGCCGTAACGGTAAAAAGGTCTATTACCTAGCGTAGGGGACCCGTGGAACACACGCCCCCACATGCCCCCCCCCCCCAACATTATTCAATAGAATACTTCACTTGCATTCACTTTCATTCGGTATATAGCCCGACAAGAAGCGCACTAAAAATCTAAGCAAATTTATATCTGAGAAGGCACTCCAAATTCTCCAAATCAGAACGTCTTTGCAGCATTAATGTCGTACCGCGTACTGACTTGAACGACCTGGTAAGCTTAATTGTCACCAATCTTTTAATGCTGTTGACCGAGAAACATGCCAATGCGATAAACTTAACGCTTATGGCCAAGTTTAACTGAGAAGAATTGTTAATTGCCTCATTGTTTAAAACGCTTTTCCGCGATAAAATAAAAAACTGGACCCAGAAATGTTATTGGCTTGAAATATAAGGATTAATTGATCTTTGAATGCAAGTGAAGTATTCCATTTGTTGCATGGATAATGTTGTTTGTTTTTTTATATGTTGTGCTTTTGAAATAAATCCAGCTTGGTAAAGAACTTCTATCTGTCTTCAGTTTTGCCAGTCGATCCCGTGACATACTGACATTATGACAAACAAATCTTT